ATAGTTTTCTTTTAAAATAATTTTTATGTGTAATATGTTTTAATATGTTAATAAAATGTATTATGTATTATTAATTTTAAGTTAATATATTATTAAATAAAATAATATTAGTATTTGACGGTTTAGTCTGTGAGTTAACCGTCATATAACCTTAAAGTGAATTATAAGTAAAATTTACAAAACAATAAGTAAAGCTAGATATATTTTATAAGGAACTGTAACGTAATTTATGAATTAAAAGATTACTTATAAAAGATTAAGGGGTATGGTCAATTTTTATAGCTTATCTATTACGTCACAGTGTATATGAATGACCCATTTGAAGTTCTGTTTATTGATAGCTGCGTTATATATAACTAATAATATTTTGAAGTCTTGTATCTGTCTCGGAGATGGATTACTGATCCGAAGATCCGGAATAATGACCAAACTTTCTTACATAGTTAATGTAATTAAAAGTTGACGTAGTATAATATTTCAAAAATAGTATATGTTTTGGTACAATATATCATAGATATATATTACTAAAATGTAAAAATAATAGAATATTATGCAGTAATATTAATACTTGTACTCAGTATGATAATATTATAACATTATAGATAAATTAATAGGTATTTTTTATAGTACAATATTTATAATTAATATAAATTAAGATATTATTAATAACAAATTAAGTAGTAGTTTAATTATTACTTATATACAGTACATAGATTTAATATAACCAAGTTACTCTTTATTTTATATACTTTACAAGTTACTATACAGTATAATATACTGTAATACATATATTCTTTACAACGCATTAAGAAAATTACTTATACAATATAACTTTAACATAAATAAATTAAATATTGCTTTTAAAACTTAATATTCGAAAAAAACAGTATTATATCTTTAGTATATAACTCAACGAAAAATTTTCTATCATAACTGTCTAAATATATATATGTATATATTTTTATTACAGAACCACTAGTATATACAGCCAATCCTTATTATAAACAATATCTAATACATACCTTATTAAACTTATAGCTACGATATATATATAATGACTATAACAAGGTTTAGGAATTTATTATTTTTATCTATATTTTTAAACTAGTAATAACCGGTTCTTTAATCATGTGATTGCATTAACACTAATAAACCGGTTTGAACCAGTTATATTGAATCAACATTTAATAACCGGTTTTGCGCAGACGTAATACATAGCTCAACGTATTGCATACAAGCTATCTTAATATCTAGCATTATTCTATTAGAGTGTATTAATGGATGCACTTAAGTTATATATATATATTAGTTAATATATAAATAATCGTAAAACTTGTAATAAACAATTTTAATTCACAGTATATTATAATTATTTATAATAATAGTCTTTAGTGTAATAATAAGAACTACTGAATTTTGTATTGCATCATTTTTTTATTTTAAATAATTTTATTAAAACTTACTTCAATTGTAACAAAAAATTTATTTTATTACTTATTATACTAAGTTATAATAAGAGTTAACTACTATTCTAGTCTTATGATTATTTTAAGTAAAAGAAATAATAGTAATATATTAGTGTTAATAATAATATCAAGAAACTCATTGCATCATCTATAATTTTATATATTTTTTGATAAACATATGATTGCATCAACATTTATGCATTAACAGCATTTACACTTTGTGCGCAGGCGTAATACATAGCACCACATATTGCAACATTGCATAGCAGTTAACGCATTTCATTAGCTTTGCATAGCTTTAAGCGTTCACTTCATTTAATTTATCTTATTATACATGTTATAAACAGGTAATATTATAAGTATATTAATATTTTAAAGTACTTTATTATTAAATTATTGTTAGTTGATACATAACTAGTATTACAATTATTAGTTGTCAATAATTTTAGTATAATTTGTTATCGTTTAAATTATAATATATAAATTTTTGAAACAATAAAAATAATCATATCTAATTGTTATATAAATAATAGTAAGTATTGCATCATTAATAATTAAATTGATATACATGTGATTGAGTCAACATTTATTGAACACTTAGTGCGCATGAGTTATAAATTACAAAACTCATTGCAAGTATTGTATATCAGTATACTAAATGCATAGATTAGTTTCTCATAAATTAATGAGTTCACTTTATTTTATTTAACTTATTATACTTATTCAGTTATTTTATTATTTAGTGACATCATAATATTGTGTTGATTATTTATAATGGAGTTTAAAGTAAATGAAACTATTAGTAAAGTATTTCGTCAGCAAGAGAGTGATAATAAAGAAAATATTATTATTAATAATATTAATAAGTATAAATCTATTAATGAGAACAATGATATACCATCATTAAATCATAACTATTTAAATTCTTTAAACAATATCACTAAAATTGAAATGCATAAGTATTTAACAAAGAGTAAAAAGAAACGCAGTGTAATAACATTTCACCACAACGATAATAATAGTGGATATAAAGCTATACTTTTAGGGTATAGTTGGCATTGTGATAATTTTAAGTACAAGTCATTGACAAATAATAATGAGTGGTTTCGTTTAATTGGCGCTAAAAGATACAGTGATAAATTATTGGTCGCAAAAAGTTATAAGTTGTGTATAAACGCGTGCTTCAAATGGAATAATCCATTGCTAACATCAGACTGGGATTATATGCAAGACTATTTAGTGACACTGTCTGATGAATTGGGGAACATTGGATTTCAGTTAATTATTATTAATGCATATGATAATAAATATTTATATTTAAAACACAAGTGTAATTATTTAGAAAATAAAATTTATATTGAGTATTTTGCACATAGCAAAAACTACGGCCATTATAATTTTATAAAAAATATCAGCGAATATTATTCTCATTAGTAATTAGTTATAAATTAATTGTATTTAACCATTTAATTGTATTTAACCATTTAATTGTATTTAACTTTAACTGTATTTAATAAAATAAAAATAATAAATCAAAAAATAGGTGCACAATAAGAGATATTTTAATTTATTGTGATGCAATATGTCACGTGACATATTGAATAATACCACTTTTACGCACTTACATAATTTATGAATGGATAATAGTACTACTACTACATGTAGTAATACTATTTCATTCATAACTTTTACGCCCGGAGTGATCGGATTAACGATAAGCGGATTAGTAGGGGATTAGCGATAATCGGATTAGTTTCACCTAGTCTACCCCTGTTATCTTTTTAATCCGGTCCAAGTGCCTAGTATACTACTTAAGTAGAAAATAAACATCAATAGTTATATTTATATTTTTTGTTATAATTAATTTCTAATAATTTAATATATAAAAATCTATAATTTATCTAATAATTATTAAAATTACCAATAAAATTATTACATAGAAAAAATGGTCTTATAACAAACTAGTAATTAAAGTATAGTTAATCTAATTTTTATTAACTAAAAAGTTTATGTTATTTTATATAAAAAAAATAGTTCAATATGATTTGATTATAGAAAAACATATAATTTATTTTGTATGTTATAAAATGTTATAATGACAAAATATATTTATTGTTCTCTATAATGTTTAATATTATAGTTAAAATGATTGATTATTTTACTCATAATATAGTGTAATTTTATTTTTATAAAATATATATACACTATATATAATAAAGTATATTTAGTATTAATGATTTAGATTATTTAAAAACAGAGAAAATATATGTAATAATATTTTTTAATGATCAAGATTAAAATTTGAAAAACCCACAATTGACATGTTTATCTAGATATTACATGCACTTACTAACTATATATATTTAATAATTTACTACATGACCAGTTATTAAATTATATTTTTAAAAAATCATGACATTAAGAAACAAAATTATTAAATATTTTAAAACTAAATTTTTGTCCAAATGATTTTGTAAAATTAATATCACACGATATTGTTTTTATTATTTTTTGTTTAGAAATTTAAATATTTAAAATATATAAATTACATGACAAATTACTTTTAAATGTATATAAGCTTGTAGTTTAGTTTTAAAATATATCAATTTATATTCAAATATAGTATTTTGACTAAAAGTAAATTTTATCAACTTATACAACGATGCGTTCAATTATTTTTATGGTAGTAATATTTGGCCTATTGTTTGGTATGTAAATTTATAAAAAAATTATATTACAATATATAAATTTTATTTGACTTTTTAATTTATACTGGTAACAGTAAACATTTCAATGTGTTATAATAGTTTTTACTAAACTATATTTAATAAAATTATATTTGTTTTAAAAAAACTTCTAGCTGCAACAATGGCCCAGTTGCCAACCTGTAACCCTGGTGAAAAGATTTGTGGCAATGCATGTTGTGAGCCGGGACAGTTGTGTGCTGCCATTGGCCTACTCGGTGTAGCCATCTGTTTGGGATTAGGTTAACCTAACTCATCAAATATGAATACGGCATTGAATTTTCTATGCAACTAATAAATTGTCATTTTATTAATTAAAATTTAATGATAATTAGGAATTATGTATTAAAACTAAAACTTTTGATTTAACTTTTGTTATTACTTTTATTAAATAACTAATAAAATTGATTTCAAATAATTTTTGTTTTTTATTCATTATATTATTGAATTTTTTTAGATTGAATAAATGATACATTATTGCTAAATAACTAAAATATTATATAATAAAAAAATAATTTTATCAATTTATTAATATAAAATTCTACTAATATTTAATTTGTTAAATAGGAGATTTTTTTAATGATAAATTAACTTAACAATCATTTAAGATTAATTTTAACTTTATTACTCATTTATATTACTTTTATTCAACAATAATTGTTATCAAATAAAATTACCACTAATTAGATTCGATAAAATAAAAATAAAATGCAATGATAAATATGCGTTTATTAAATAAAAAAATAAAACAATAAATAGTTTTAAAAATATATATAATTATAATTAGCAATTAATTTACAATTTTTACAATTGGTGTCAAACCTGCGGCCAAATGTCCGCCATCTATCACATGATGAACTCCTGTGACAAACGAGGCGTTATCTGATGCCAAATACAGTACAGCATTGGACACATCCATCCCAGTTCCGGCCCGACCCGCAGGACACTGGCGACCGTACGCTTCGCTAACTGCGTCCGCTTCAATATGTTTGCGTTTACGTGGTTTCGGGCGGCGACGCCCACCGTTTTCTGTAAACTGATAGTCGATTATAGGTCCGTGACTATTAATAAGTGAAAAGTTAAATAAAGTTTTTTAAAAAAAAGTTTGAGTAATAAAAATAAAATATGTGTAAACATCACCCACTTTACTGAGTTAACCCGAATCCCTTTTGTGGCCAAATCACTGGCCATACACTCTGTAAACATATTTAGAGCACTTTTGGCCATACAATTAGGCGTATATTCAGTAAACTTGTTTAATAAAACAAAGAAAATATAATTATAATTTTATGATTTTTTTTTGTTTAAAATACAGTATATATATATATACAGTAGCGTAAGCACCGATAGTTGATATGTTAACTATCGTTCCCCGTGTTTGCTCCAAATGTGGTACACATAGATGTGTCAAATAGACGAGAGAGTGTAGATTCAGGTCTAGTGTTTGCCGATATTTGTCCATAAAGTCGTTGTCCGTAAATCTGGTCATTGCTTTAAGATTACAACAGTTGACCAAAATATCTAAACGATTGTGCCGTTCAATGGTTTGTCGTATCAATCGTTGCAAGTCTTCGGGTCTCAACATGTCTACCATAACCTCAATTGGTTTGAGTTTATTCGGTGACACTTTATGACACTCGTTGGCCACGGCATTGACTTTTAATGCGTACCGACCGCTGATCACAACACGTGCACCGGCACGGGCCAGGGCTATGGCAATGGCCGCGCCTACACCCGAACTCGAACACGTGACAATTGCCACTTTGCCCGTGAAGTCCGGTTTAATTGACATTTTTGTTTAGATTTTGTTGTTATTGTATTTCTATTAAATTAAAGCTAACCATTCAATAATAAATAGTGTAAAATTAAAAATTATTTACAGCTGTACTGTATATTAGTTAAAAAAAATTTTATCATAATTATTATACTATTAGATAATTGCTATGGATATATTGTTTTATATACTCTACTGTTTATTTATAATAATTATCATTTTTAAAAATTTAGTTTTAGATAATAATATTTATGTCTTCTAATTTATTATAAATATAAAGTTATTGTGTATAGCAAAATATAGTTTTTTTTTAAATAATTTATTTTAAGGTTTTAATCAATCAATTTTTGTAATCAGTAATAATTAAGTTAATATTATTACTTTAATTTAAATGAAGAAAATTTATAATTATTTTCCCAATACTTTTGATTTAATGTCTGAAAAATTATTATATACAAATGCGGACACAAATTGCAAATTGAATAATAAAAATTAAAAATATTAGTTTATTATAATTCATATTTAAGCAATTTCTAGATATATTTTGCAATATCATCATAAATAAAAAACATTTTATTTTATTTTTTTAATGAATTGTTTAAAAGAATATACATAATTAAAAAATACATAAATTTTTGAAAATAATGTACACATAATACAATAATTATTATCCACTATTAATATTATTAACTAAATAAAAATATCAATTCAAATATAATTTATGTATCAAATAATATAAAATGTATGATTTATGTACATCAGATAAATAAGTAATACAATAAATTAAACTACATTACCAATTAGTTTAAATTATCAAACATTATGTATAAAAATAATTATTTCAATATAGATTACTCAATTTAATATTTAATAAAAAAATTATTTTATTCTATCGATATATTTATGTATATTTCATTAAAAAGGATAAATATTTAAAAAAATACAAATATTTTATATTGACTAATATAATGATCATTTAAAACAATTACTTTAAACTAAAATCACGAATTTCTCTCATTAGTGGTCCATAATATTTATCATATAATTGATGTGAATATTCAATAAATATATCATTCATTTGCTTCAACAATGATAGGGCTGTCATATACTGTGCAATCATTGTATGAGTTTCCCGACGATACTTGAGTTTAAGATACCGGTGCAGTAAATGAATATACAGTTGTCGTTCACATCTATAATAAATAAGATAATAATTATATATATTTTCAAACTCTAAATATAAAATTACTGTAGTTTTATTAATACAATACCTAATGACTGATTGATGTGTAATATGTGGTCGACTCGGATTGAAAATTGTTATGGCCATTAACTTTTTTAAAAAATAATAATAATAATTGAATTATTAAATTAAAAATAGTTTGTTTGAATTTATAATTAAAATACCAAATATAAAATAATATAATCTTGATCCCATATTTGATTAAAATAATGATGATAATTGATCCGGGCAGTATATACACTTTCTGAATTAGGTTTCATTAGATTATAATGAAATAGTAATACTGTATTTTTGTCCTAAAATAATAATAATACTATTAATTAATTATTTAATTTTTAAATATCACTAAAAAAATCATACATACGACAGCTATTTCACAGCACTCGGCATTCATGTGATAGTTATATGAAAATCTAAGATTAAGTAGATCTGAGTGTCCGTACTTAACGATTGCCAACTGATCGCTTTGGATCAAGTAGTTGAATGTCGACAACGATCGACACATTGTTATCACATGTTGAATGTTTCTGTCACCCCGTCTACCGTATACCTGATCCATGCGCTGATGTACTGATCCGTCTGGTATATGAACAATATGTTTATGATTACGACTAAATAAATATGCAAACACTTGGGTTGAGTCAAATAGCTCCCGGAGCCGATGTCTTTCCATATCGTTTAGTGGACTGTAATCTTCAATTTGTTTACTAATCAATACTTGTGGTAATTGTTGTGTCATTAATCGATCAGATAATTGTTTGCCTGAATTGACTATTGTTGACGAAATATTTTCATTCAAATATTTTACTTTTTTAATATTTACTAATTGCTAAATAATTAAGTTTAAAATATTAATTAGCAATAATTGTAGTAATAATAAAAATATACTTTATATAATTTTTTTTCATAACAAACCTTTTTCATTCCCATTTTGATACACTTATCAAATCGACATTTAATACATCTTTTTCTATTTTCAATATTTATTGAACAGTTATTATTATTTTTAGCACATTTTAGATTATATTTCTAATTAGATAATTAAAATAAACATAAAATAGTTACTGATTTAAAAAAAATATATATTTGTAATAACTATAAATATATAATTTAATTAACATACCATTGATGACAGGATTATCCGTCTAAAAAATGATTTACACGGTATACACGTGTAAATCCCAAAATATCTATCTGTTATAAATAAATTAATTAAAATCTTTTTTTTTAAATGTTTAAAAATTAAATAATAAATATTTTATAACTACTTAATGCTATATCACCACAAACTGGACAATATTTCATCTTTAATTGTTAATATAGTAAATAAATTATACAAAATGTATTTATTATTTAAATTTTAAAAATCTATAAATATTGTTTACTTGTTTGTATTTTATTGAATAGATATAAATGATGATTTTTTCAATTTAATAAATTTATATCAACATATTTAAAGTATTTATTATTACAATATTAAGTAAATACGATGAAAACATTTAAGTCTCTATGGTGATTATGATAAATATGTTTTTTTTATTAATTATTGATTTATTAAATTTAACCTTGACAGATTTATTATAATTATATATTGTTTATTAGAAAAATAAAATAAATTATACTTTATACAATAATTAACATTTATAGTTTATTAGAATAATATAAACTTAGATGAACTTAGATAAAGTAAAAAAAAAATTATATACAAAAAAAATTATAAAAAATTATATTATTTTTGTTTTTTTTATAAAAAATATTATTTCCAGTATTATTGTAAATATTGATAATATATATCCAATAATCAATATGGAGACAGTATTTTGCATTATTTCAGTTAACGACAAACTGTGCAAATTGTTTGTTAATTTATATTTTTGAAATATTTGAGTTTTATTATGACTACTATTATCGCTTTCATCTCTACTGTATTGTCTAACAATACTATCAATGAGATCATTGTGAGCATCCAAACCAGATTCAACAAAACACTTAAAACTAGGAGCATGGTAGATTTTTAGGAAAAAACAAAAAAAATATGTTAGCTAAATATTAAGTAAATTTTAATAAATAAATATATATATATTTTGAATTTAAAAGCTATGTACAAAACATACATTTTAACTAATTGTTGTTTAATTGGACTTCTTTTATGTACCACTCTATACGATAATGTTGGCCAATAAGTTGTATCCAATTTTCGATAACTATTTTTCAAATAAGTATATTCCTCGTCAAACATTTGTCCGACAACTGTATTAACATAGATAACTGTATTTCCTTTAACCATATCCTCAACAATAGTACGATTATAGATAAACCCATTTGAATCAAATTTAATTTTTAAATGGTCTTGATACTTTTTTATGCGTTCATATATTTGCGTTTCATTTCGGTAATAATTTTCATAACCAGCAATATATACGTTAGAATTATTTAGTGTATCATTTAAATCATTAAAAATTGGTACAGTTTTTATATTCAAATAGACATTTAACAATAATTTTGTAAATGAACTAGATAATATAAATGAAATCGGTAGCCAAATGCATAGAGTTATCTTAAATAAAATGTTATAATGATTTAATTGTTTATTAGTAAACAATTTTGCTAATAATGCACACGATTGACATAACAATGTTGACGTTAAGAAAAATAAGTAATTAAAATAATTTGATTTTCTTATTATATTTAACACAAATGATATTAATATAATAGATGCAAATAAATTATACCAAATCTAGTCAATATAATTTATAATTAAATTAATACATTTAAAAAAAATATATAATTAATAATTATTTTTTGCTATAATTTTACCATTTTATCAAATAATCTGAAAATCGACAAATATGATGATTTTGTATTTAATTGTAATCCACATAATATTTCTATTAAATTAATTTGTTTATTAGCTATATGTTCGTATAAATAATGTATCGATTGATCTTTACTAAGCACTTGTGCTTCTAAAATGATCATGGTCGACTAATTAGTAAAAAACAAAATTAATTAAATATTAGTATTTTTAAAAAAAAATAAAGTACTATACTTACAGTTTTTGATAATTCACTATAAAATGCAACTTGATAATTTAGATGACATAACAAATATTGAACCATACTTAATGTCGAGCCATATAAATATTCCTTTAAATTTACAATAAAATTAAGTTAAAATTTTAATAAAAATATTTAATAAAGCTATCTATAAATATATATTATTACATTAGCTATATAAACATCAATATTAATTGTCGCTTCAGTAATTGTTGTATTTTGTTGGCACACATGAGGTAAATAATAGTAGATTTCTGATATTTTAACAATATTATATAAATATTGTATATCTAAAATTTTGTTATATTCACTCATTGTATTTTTTTTAATTAAAATATTTTAAAAAACAATTAATAATAATGAACTATTTATTTTTATAGTGGAAATTAAGTGATTAGTTTATACAATTCAATATGTTTATTAAAAATTACATTGATTAATCTATAAGCGCACTAATTTAAAATATAAAACAGTATAATTATTAATAAACTGCAAATAATGATTTAATAATAGTAGATATCTATTAAATATTATAATTGCTATTTGATAATTATATTATTTGATAATGATAATCCCAGACAAACCTATAGTACTAAAATATATTCAATAAATATGTCTTTATATAAAAATTATATTTAACAATACATATTGTGTATCACTATTATTATATTATTTAAAATATGCAAATAAATTTGGTGCATTTTTATAATTATATGTATTGTTAGATTTTTGTATCATTGAATAATTCATATTAAGTAATAATAATCATATTATTTCCTATACATATGATTATTTTACTAATAAATATTATACATTAATATTTATGCAATATTTTTATATACAATATTATAAAAAAAATTATCGATAATATTTATAATATATATTGTTATAAAGATATGCAAAATTAAATAAAGATATATCAATTAACATATTCATTATATTTTATCAATATATTGTATTTATTAAAACGATAGAAAGAAAAAATTTCCATTAATTAATACTACAATTAATACAATTTATATTATTTATTAAAAAAATACTGTATAACTTAGAAAACAAGTGATTCTATTTATTAATGAAATTATTGTTTTTTATCTATAATAATAAACAAATACAGTATTAAATATTATAAATATTATTTACTACAATTGTTATATAATATAATAATATAATAAACTCACAAAATAAATTTAGAATATTTTTATAAAAAAAATAACTTTTACAATTATCACATATTTTTTAACTTTAAAAATAAAAGATTACAATTATTAGAAATTTTGTAAATTTTAATAAAATTTATTAAATTAAATTTTAGCTACAGTAATATTGATGTTTTAATATCATATAAGTAAATAATATACATTTAAAAAAAATCTGTTTAGTTTCTTAATTATTATAAATAAATTGTTTTTTTATCAAAAACACATTTTATTATTTATGATGCATTAGATTGAAATGTTCATCATCAATTTATTTACAGTATTAATTGTGTGAGATAACAATTTATAATAATTTTCAACATGGTAACGTACAATTTACATATAAAAACATTATTATTTTTAATTATTTATCTAATTTTAAATATAGTTTTGCATATTAATGCACAAGGTAAATGTTTAGTTAATTAATTAAAAACTATTGTTATTAAAATTTAATACATAATTTTAATTTATCAGATACCAAAAAACGTATAACAACATTTGCTCATACACCACTTAACGGTGCCAATTGCCAGGGCAAATATGCTAGCAATTTTACACTGGTGGAAATATGGCACCGGGATCAAATGTGCCAAATCAAAAGTTTTGATTTGACTGGTCCCGTTTATTTGATTGATCATGGTCTAACAAACAATGATCCCAACGTAAATATACTCAAATATTTAGTCACAACTGCATACCCTAAAGCAGGTAATGTTAATAATTTAATTAAATTATTATTTATATATTAATTTTAATTATATATTAATAAAATTATAGATCAGTATATTTTTGAAGGTCTCTACTCAGCAATCAATGGCAATCTTGATGGCAAATATGTCTATATTAGGGCATTGCGACCAATGCTAGTTGATCAACTAGATAAATGTACCATGTTTATTGGAAAATCTTACCTGGTCACTACCGATATTACACTTGGTATATTAGATAATATTAATTTATCAATACTATTATCACCAGGTGGATTGTTTAATAAACTTGATAAAAATTATAATACTTTATGCCGTGAAAACAATGTTGGTTTTGTTGTGTAAAATTTTATTTTAATAAAAATTAATGTTTATTTAACAATAAAAATATTTATTGAATAATTTAATTTATAAATATTCTAATTATTTATAATTGTATTTAATTTTATTGACATTTACAATATCTTACAGATATTGAATAATATATATTTTTTAAAAAATAAATTAACAAATTAAACAAAATTTATTATTATTCATTGTATAATAATTATTATTATATTAAATTAAATTAATGTATTTATTTATAAATAAAATTTTTAAAATTAAAAAATAGTATTTATTAAATTTAATAAAACTAAAATATTTTACAATATATGATTTGATAAGTAAAATAAAGTAGTTGAAAAATTAACATAATTAATCAATAAATCACAACAATAAAAATACTAAATAAAGTTTCACATAAGTTTTATTATAAAATGGTATATTTTTAACTTGTAAATAAAATATTGAGCAATAAAATAATTTACTAGAAAATTGGCAAATAAACATCATGAACAAATTTGCCAGCTGAATTAAATCTGTGCAAAAAATGTGCAATATTTAATTTGCCCAGATCATTGCCATTTAAATTATATATTTTTTATTTAACTAAAGTATATTTGACAATATTTTGAAAAGTATATAAAAACTGAATATAGATCTAAAAAAATTATCAGTTCATAGTTTTAGTTTTTATTATATTATAGTAAAAAATAATAACATTTTTATTTTATATAAATATGAACACATTTATTGTATTTGCTTGTTTAATTGGTAAAATTTATAAACTATAAATTTTTATTTTCTATGTTTAAAACTAAAAGTTTAAAATATTTAATTTTATTATACATTTAGCTGTCGTATATGCTAGTGGCAAAAAGTGTGAATGTAATTATTTATTTTATAAATATTTTATTTTTTAGTAAATATATTTTTTTTACTAATAAAAAAAATTATTTAATCCCAGGGCCCAAACAGGACTTTCTAGAGATCATCCACTTTAACGAATGCGAGGGTAAGGATGCGTCCAACTATACATTGGTTCATACCTATCAAAATGATGTGTCGCCCCGAGTCAACAAATACAGATTAAATGTTGACCATCTGGTTCAAGGAGACAGTCATCACGGACAACTGGCCAACAATCAACTCCGAGTTCTGGCCCATTCCACTTATCCCGCTGGAGGTTTATATATATAAATAGTTATATAATAACAGCTAAACAACTATTAAACTTAATTTGCAGCCTATACTCAACTGGAGACTCTGTGGGTTGCAATTGCCGGTCCTCTTGAAGGCAAATATCTGTACGAAAAGACCATTATTTTGCTTCAAGACTACCTGAAGAAGAAATCGTCTGTTTTGGGCTATTCCTATGTGACAACTAAGAGCTCATCCCTATTGATCAACGAACGACTCGAACTCCAGGTTCTCATTTCGCCCACCGGTGGTTATGAAGTGTTCAAAAAGGGATGCACTACTATCTGCCGGGGAAATGGTTATACCGTTTAATTTAATGAATGTATTTTAATCGAGTTTTTACATTAAATATTTTTTATTTATTATGTAAAATAATTAATTTTTTTGAATGAAAAATTGTTATATTTATTTATTACTTTCTACTAATGATTTATTATTTAAATAAATTTATTATTTTTATTTAAATTAAAAAAAATGTTTCAAACTATTTTTTTTAATTGATATGCATTTATGGATAATATATAAAATTCTAAAATAATTAGTTTGTTATTTTGAATTATAAATTTAATTGAAATAAAATATTTAATAAATTAATTTTTTTATTTAATATACAATTGTATTTTACACACCAGAAGAAACCATTGCCATTTTATTTATAATGTTTAAAAATGATAATTTTTATTTTATTAAATTTTTAGAGAGTTTCCAAGTAATTTGTTTTAATTGTAAACTGAAATAACTTTACCAACACTTTTAAAAAATAAATACCAGTTTCTAACAATAGCCAGTTCTCTAACAATCAAATATATTTATAAATTTTTAGCCACTAAATGGTCAGTTAGACCACTGTTAGATCAACTAATGGTGTCAATAAAAGTAATTGAAATGTAGATGTACTACACATTTACTAAAGTAAAGGCTATATTGTCTAAGCAAACAATCTGAGTAATTATTATTATTAAAAATATCAATTATTATCCCTAATATTAATGTATCATAAGATTATATATTTATTATTTTATATGGTGATTACAATTTGAACTTAAAATGTGTATGTATTTATTTGTTTAAACTATGTAATATTTTTTATTATAAGATTCTCAAGTCATTATTACGTATAAAAAAATACAATTTACTAATTTAAATAACTAACACTTTAAGCATTAATCATATTATAAAAAATATATAATAGAAATAAAAAGTAAAGAAAATATTCTACAAATTAATATCTGTTATATGATATATAGTAAGTGTAACTTATAACAGGGTTTATTATTCAAGTGATTTTTGATTATTTTGATTAAAATGCACTGTCGAAGCTTATAGTTTATTAAAATATATCTGATCTAGCTCAAATAATCTGTTACAAATTTATTTTAATAAAGTAGTATATTTAATTTAATATTATATAAAAATTTAATTTATGTATTAGTTGTTAATTACGTTTTTAAAATAAGGGACCATATAATCATCTGATAACGCCTGGTGTATAACAACAACATTATATTCAATACATTCATTATTAATATATTGACCACATTTTGAAAAGTATATAAACTGAATGTAGATCTAAAAAAAATTATAAGTTTATAGTTTTAGTTTTTATTTCTATAGTATTATAGTAAAAAATAATAATATTTTTATTTTTTTAAAAATGAATACATTCATTGTATTTGCTTGTTTAATTGGTAAAATTAATAAACTATAATTTTTTATTTTCTATGTTTAAAACAAAAAGTTTAAAATATTAATTTTTTTAATTTTATTTCACATTTAGCTGTCGCATTTGCTAGTGGCAAAAAGTGTGAATGTAATTATTTATTTTTTAGTTAATATATTAGTTATAATAAAAACAATTATTTAATCCCAGGGCCCAAACAGGACTTTCTAGATATCATCCACTTTAACGAATGCGAGGGTAAGGATGCGTCCAACTATACATTGGTTCACACCTATCAAAATGATGTGTTGCCCCGAACCAACAAAATCAGAGGAAATGTGGACAATCTGGTCCAAGGAGACAGTCATCACGGACAACTGGCCAACAATCAACTCCGAGTTCTGGCCCATTCCACTTATCCCGCTGGAGGTTTATATATATATATAAATATTTATATAATGATAGCTAAACAGCTAATTAAACTACTATTAAACCTAATTTGCAGCCTTTGCTCAACTGGAGACCCTTTGGGTTGCAATTGCCGGTCCTCTTGAAGGCAAATATCTGTACGAAAAGACCATTATTTTGCTTCAAGACTACATTAAGAAGCGATCGTCTGTTTTGGGCTATTCCTATGTGACAACTAAGAGCTCATCCCTATTGATCAACGAACGACTCGAACTCCAAGTTCTCATTTCACCCACCGGTGGATATGAAGTGTTCAAAAAGGGATGCACTACTATCTGCCGGGGAAATGGTTATACCGTTTAATTTAATGAATGTATTTTAATCGAGTTTTTACATTAAATATTTTTTATTTATTATGTAAAATAGTTTTTTTTGAATGAAAAATTGTATATATTTATTTATTACTTTCTACTAATGATTTACTATTTAAATAAATTTATTATTTTTATTTAAATTTAAAAAAATGTTTCAAACTATTTTTTTAATTGGTATGTATTTATGGATAATATATAAAATTCTAAAATAATTAGTTTTTTATTTTTAATTATAAATTTAATTGAAATATAATATTTAATAAATTAATATTATTTATGTAATATACAATTGTATTTTACGCACCAGCAGAAACCATTGCCATTTTAGTTATAATGTTTTATTTTTATTTTATTAAATTTTTAGAGAGTTCCAAGTAGTTTGTTTTAATTGTAAAATGTAATAAATTTAGCAGCACTTTAAAAATATATATAAATAATATCAGTTTCTAATAACAGCCGTTTCTCTAACAGACAAATATATGTATAAATTTTTAGCACTAAATGGTCAGTTAGACCACTGTATTAATTAACGTCCTTATTAAGTCCTTATTTCAACTAATGTGTTCAATAAAAGTAATTGAAATGTAGATGTACTACACATTTACTAAATTAAAGTCTATATTGTCTAAACAAAAAATCTGATTAATTATTATTATTATTAAAAATATTAATTATTATCCCTAATACTATTGTCGACCAGATGTCTACTATCATAAACACATACAGACATTACATCCCTTTCCACCCTTTAGTAACGTTTTGTCACTCAACCCAATCACTACATGTAATCGTTATAATCTTTTGATGTAATTGTCGGCCTCTTTGATGACACCATTATATTAGTATTAATGTATTATAAGATTATATATTTATTATTTAATACAATTTGAACTTAAAATTTTAAAATGTGTATTTATTTGTTTAAAATATGTAATATTTTTTATTATAAGATTCTCAGGTCATTATTACGTATAAAAAATACAATTTACTAATTTAAATAACTAACACTTTAAGCATTAATCACATTATAAAAAATATATAATAGAAATAAAAAGCATTGAAAATATTTTACAAATTAATATCTGTTATATGATATAAGCAGAGTTGCTAAATGGGGGGGGGGTATGGAGGTAAGATCTCTTACCCCCTTAGATAGGGAAATTTTGGATCTTACCTCCCCCTGGCTTATAGCCAAATTTTTTATATTTTTCTAAAAATTAATATTAATTTTTGAAAACATTTTGAGTATTGAAAAATTAAGTTGGGAATATTTTTATAAGTTAATTTTTTGAGAATTTATTGGGAATTTTTAGGGAATTTAGTAGGAATTTAGTAGGAATTTAGTAATTATTTATTGGGAATTTAGTCAAATTAGTCGTTTAAAAATGCAATAAAAATGTTTACTCCCCCCTATAACCCCCAAAACTTTCGATTTTTTTGCCATTTTACCCCCCCCTTTACCCCCTGAAATCGAAAATCAGACAGCGTGGATATAAGTGTATAACAACAATATTATATTCAATACATTCATTATTAATATATTGACCACATTTTGAAAAGTATATAAATTGAATGTAGATCTAAAAAAAATATAGTTTATAGTTTTAGTTTTTATTTCTGTATTATTATAGTAAAAACTAATAACATTTTCAGTTTATAAAAAAATGAACACATTCATTATATTTGCTTGTTTAATTGGTAAAATTAACAAAATATAAATTTTTATTTTATATGTTTAAAACTAAAAGTTTAAAATATTTAATTTTTTAATTTGATTTTACATTTAGCTGTCGTATATGCTAGTGGCAAAAAGTGTGAATGTAATTACTGTTTTTATAAATATTTAATTTTTTAGTAAATATAATTTTTTTGTTATAATAAAAACAATTATTTAATCCCAGGGCCCAAACAGGACTTTCTAGAGATCATCCACTTTAACGAATGCGAGGGTAAGGATGCGTCCAACTATACATTGGTTCATACCTATCAAAATGATGTGTCGCCCCGAGTCAACAAATACAGATTAAATGTTGACCATCTGGTTCAAGGAGACAGTCATCACGGACAACTGGCCAACAATCAACTCCGAGTTCTGGCCCATTCCACTTATCCCGCTGGAGGTTTATATATATATATATATATATAAATATTTATATAATGATAGCTAAATAACTAATTAAACAACTATTAAACCTAATTTGCAGCCTATACTCAACTGGAGACTCTGTGGGTTGCAATTGCAGGTCCTCTTGAAGGCAAATATCTGTACGAAAAGACCATTATTTTGCTTCAAGACTACCTGAAGAAGAAATCGTCAGTTTTGGGCTATTCCTATGTGACAACTAAGAGCTCATCCCTATTGATCAACGAACGACTCGAACTCCAGGTTCTCATTTCGCCCACCGGTGGATATGAAGTGTTCAAAAAGGGATGCACTACTATCTGCCGGGGAAATGGTTATACCGTTTAATTTAATGAATGTATTTTAATCGAGTTTTTACGTTAAATATTTATTTATTATGTAAAATAATTAATTTTATTTGAATTAAAAATTGTTATATATTTATTTATTACTTTCTACTAATGATTTATTATTTAAATAAATTTGTTATTTTTATCTAAATTAAAATAATGTTTCAAACTATTTTTTTTTTAATTGGTATACATTTATGGATAAAATATTAAATTCTAAAATAATTAGCTAGTTATTTTTAATTATAAATTTAATTGAAATAAAATATTTATTAAATTAATGTTTTTTTAATGTAACGTACAATTGTATTTTACACACCAGCAGAAACCATAGCCATTTTAGTTATATTTTTTATTTTTTATTTTAATTTTTCATGATTTTTTAAAATTAATACTAAACTGATATATGTATTTTATTAGACTAATATCTAAATAATTGCATTAAATATTTAAATTATATTATGTTATTGATTATTAATAAAATGAATTCATTTTTAAAATATTTGTTTAAAGTTGTTATAGTAGTACAGTATGTGTTTTATAAGATAATACTTATAAAAATAATATGTAAAAAATAAAACAAATCAATTACATTCTAAGATTTATTTTAATTATTATTAATTTTTATTTTGAATAAATTTAAGTAAATTATTTATAATTACATTTAGATTTTTATAAAAAAATATATTAAAGCACATGTTAAACAAATTTTTTAATAATAAAGTTATAAACATGATTTTTTTCTACAACTGTTATGTTTATCACTTAAACATAAAAAATATATTAAATTAAAACAGATATTAACCTTTAACAGTTTTAATAGTACCATGATATATTTACGTAATTAAAACTGTTAATTAGAAAAAATAATATTAATTATTATTATTATTATTATGTAACAATTAAATGATGTTTTTGAACTTAGATTTACTATTACACTAAAACAGCCAGTGGTGCGCAAATACATTACTAAAAAAAAAATTTAACCTGAACAATTGCCACAAAATTTTCGTATAAAAGCACCAAGTTGCACTGTCAAAAATTATCAGTTCATCTTTTAGCTTACAATCATCTAGTACAGTCTAGAAACTCACAAACAACTAATATCACATTTACACAATGCTCTATCTCGTTGTAATCATTGTTGCCATTGGTAAGTGTAAAATATCTTTATTTTCTTAATGATCATGGTAAACTTATTTTATTTATTTATGTACCTGATCCATTCACCCAATAGGCTCCATCAACTGTGGCGGTCAACCCGAACCCGAACCCCGAGTCAATGTTCTCTACTACGGCCAGTATGACGAGTGCGAGGGTAAAGACGCCAACAACTATACACTGTTGAGTGAGTTCACTGAAGACCAAACCGGTAATCCCATTGATAGAGAAGACGAAGACGACCAACTCATCCAATGTGGACCCAACGGTGCCCGAGCTGTCGACTCGCTCAAGATCTTGGCCCGATCTGTCTACCCGGCTGGAGGTAAACTATCCATAGCTTAAAATAATAATACATATTTTTTGGTTAAATATTAATTCCCATTTAAAAAAAAACCATAGCCTACAACCAAAGAGAGACTCTGTGGCTCATCACAGGTGGTCCCCTTCAGGGCCGATACCTGTACGAGAAGATCATATATCTGGCTTTGGCTTATCTCAAACGTTTCTCATCGGTTTTGGGCTATTCGTACGTCACAACCAAATCGGCTTCACTGTTGATCAACGATAGACTTGACTTAGCTGTCCTGATCTCGCCTACCGGTGCCTACGAGGTGTTCAAAAAGGGATGTACCACTATCTGCCGGGGACGTGGATACTTTGTGGCTTAGACAACGATACGAAATTATTTTACTATATTTTTATTTATTTATTTATTTTTTTTGAAAAATAATAATTCACATGTAAAAAGATAATTTTGATAAACAAACAAAATAAAATTTTCTCGTCAATTAAAAAAAACTATTGATTTTATTTAAAGAGTAAATTTGAATTAACATGCTCAATTGATAAAATAAATAAATATACAAAAATAAAATGAAAATTGAAATAAATATTAAAACTTATTATTTTATTTGTATTAGATCTAATCAACTTTAATAAAATTATAAAATGTAATTTTACATTAAAATACTGATTTTCAAATAAATATACTGTATAATATTGCAATTTATTATATAATAGTAATACATGTATAGTATTTATTTTACATATAGTAAAAAATATAATTAAATTTTACAACTTAATTTTTCTTAATTAATAAAAATGTAAATGTCATAAATGTAAATGTTTATTTAAAAAAAAATTATATGTAATATCATACATATGCATAATTTTTAACTTATATTCTACAGTAAAGTACAATATTTATTACATTATATTAAATTGCCTTAAATTTTTTTGACCAAGTTCAATATACTGTAGAATATACAGTTAAACAATAAGTTAAATATGAAACTAATAATTTTTATATTAATAATTAATTTTACTGGTAATTTTATTAAATTAAATTAATTAAATTATTTATATTTTAACA